CCCCCCCTGGGTACGCCACTGATTTACAGTATTTGTAATGAAAAAACTAAAAAAGGAAATCCGCGGAAGTGCAGAGTGCAGACAAACAAAATTATTATTAATTGTATCATATTATTTAGTAGATTATCAATAACCAAATGATATAACCATTTCATTTTGATGGTTACAAATTATCAGTTACCTAAAACCAAAAGTTATTACCAAAAATATAACCAAAACCGCGAAAACGACTTGTTTATGATATATAGTAACCCGGTTACATTTGGTTAAGCGCGAAAACACACCTAATGTCTAGAACCATAGTCATGATAATGATTATTTAGGTCACATATAACATGTAAACATGATAGTATTAAATTATTAGTTATTGCACTGTAGCAGTGTAGCCACAACATTACTTAATTGTTGTAGTCAAAAAATCAATTTACATTAATTCAAGTTCTATGAGAATATGATATTAATTTACTATTAAACATGCCAAGGGGGGTCCACCCCCTTGGTTGCGCCACTGGTCTGCCCTAGATTGTTCCTTTAAAGATAGTTTTTGTAATTTTCTGTCTTAATTTCACGGCCGGCGTGTTTCTTTATTTGTATGTTGTTACCTTCTGAAACGTGAGTTATAATATTAGGGTTCGGGACTTCTTGCATTTGCATGTTTTTTTGTAGTGGTTGTAGTCTATTATTAAGTCAGTTATACATTTATTTTATAAAATTATGAAATTAAATACTAAGTTTGAATTTGCATATTTTTGCATATTTCGTTATATTTTAASAAAAACGCATATTTGAGCAATTTTTAGTATATTTGGACATATTTCACATTTTTATATTTTTATATACTTAAAATTGTTGGGGAACATCATAATTGGATTGTCGTAGTCTGCCATATCTAACACGTACGTCTGTTTACGATCATAATCTCTTTATCGTTTAATAATCAACCAAAAACAATGATCTTAATAAATAGTTTATCTTTACAGATATTTCAATTTTAAATTTGGATGAAATTCGATTTATATGATACTAGCTGAACCTGTGCACTTCGTAGCCCGTTAAAAATCCTACCTCTAATGTGGTTCATATTGTGTGTTAAATTCATTTCATGTGATGATGCTTGCAGAATATTTTTATACATATAATGATAGGTAGTGGTTAAAATATATTGTAATCTTACAGCGATTCAATTTTGTATATCATTATGTAATTTTCTTCTTTTTATCAATATAATTTTAACAATTTAAATATTAAATTGTAAAATATTTAGTTAAATATTTAGGCATAGGTATCACTTACTAACTTAACCTATCGTCTGCCCATATGTATAATAAAGTTATGTACCACATTTTGTCACAATCGGTCCAGCTATTTAAGAATGTATATAGAACAAACAGATATATAATATAGCTATCCATCTATAAAGCTGTATCTCTATATCTATGATGTCCGTTTATCCTTTATTTAAATGCTTTATAATATATGCTTAATTTATACGTTTTTCAAATAATCATGCTTGGATAAATACTGCAATTATAATTATATCAAATTTTGTAGACATCGGTCCATCAATTGGAATTGGAATGCATAAAGGATAAATAAACAGATATCCATTTTTTTCCATTTGAATTTCCCACCAAACATACTAACCCTTGTGATTTATTAATTTATTAATTCGCTCAACAAATCATGGAATAAGTAATTTTGAGCAACATTTTTAAACACCTTTTGAATAAGTTCAGCTTTAGTAAAGACTAAAGGGTAAAGTGAAGAGACGTTAACATTTTACCACAAACAATTGACTTATTACCATAGACTAAATGTCAACTAAGTGGTTATAATATGCTTGCGTTATGACAAATTGCGTTATTAGCAAAAAAAAAAAAATAACCATAATACGAGATATATATAAATATATATAACCATCACTAATAATAGCCGTCACTATACCAACCATTTATAAATAAACAAAAATTTCCATCCCAAAAATGTTTAGCTGCTCTCGAGAGCGCGTCTTGTTTATTTAAATGGTTGCCATTGACTACCAAAAAATATTATTATTATTTAGCTCATTTTTCGCTGGACAGATGGCGATACTGTCATTTCATCACATCCTCGTCACATTCCACTAAACCGGTAACTTTCTCAAATTTTTCATGCCCAAAACCTGCTCTGTAATGTTCTCTTTAATTTAAAAAAAATTGCAAGACGATCCAATAAGTAGGTAGTTTCGAAGCCAAGCCGTAACAAAGATTTCCTTTTTTGCTTGATTTCAGTTTTATATATATAGATAAAAAGAAACATTAAAACTAAAAAGTGGTTGTGTTGTAATAATATTTTGACCATAAAAAATTGAATGTACCTTTCTTTCACCGTGTTGATTTTTGAGATTTGAATCATGAGAATGTTAAAATAAAACAGCGAACGCAAAATAGAATTGAACAGCTAATAAGCGCTGACATTATTCAAATGTTGAAATGCTTTAAAATAATCAAAGTTACCTATAATTAACGTTGAATAATTTCTACTACTGTAAAAATAGGCATAGGTAAATAAATGCTCACCAAATGGTTTAAATTATTGATATTTATATTTTTGCGATGGAATTTACACATATATATATATTTTTTTTTTTATT